ATTTGTCTGTATAGAGACCAAACGGTCTTTATATAGACCAATTGGGCTGTATAGAGACCAACCGGTCTTTATATAGACCAATTGGTCTGTATAGAGACCAACCGGTCTTTATATAGATCTGGTCTGTATAGAGACCAACGGTCTTTATAAAGACCAATTGGTCTGTACAGGGACCAACGGTCTTTATATAGACCAATTGGTCTGTATAGAGAACAGTCGCCTTTTCCATATACAATAAAATAATTATTTTAAAAATATCTACATTTATTACATTTTATTAAAGAAATAAACATCCGTACTATAAAAATACAATTTCAAAATCATTCAGATTTCGTTCGGCTCCTACGTGACCTTCCACCACTACGACTTCTTCGGCGGCTTGCCCTTCTAGACGATGTTCGGCTTGCTCTCATTGATGCAATTACGGGACCACGTCGCCTGCGCCTGAGCCTAGGTGCATAGAACGCCTATAAAAATAGAAACATTACATTTGTTTAACACATACATATGTATACCCAAAATCATATGTATGCATTTTCTTACCTCAGCTATATATTTTAATTTTTGCTCCGCAGGCAATTTTTTCCATTCCTCTGCACCTTTCCGTATTGTTTCCACCGCCGATAGACCGCAATTTTTCTTGCGATAGTCGCGTAGAAAATTTAGATATGGATTGCGTCCAACCGGACCAGGTCTTAAACAACGGCCACCCGATGTTGCCGCATTTGGAGCGGCACACTGCATCATACAGACGGCGCGACGTTTATCATTATGTTCGGTACTCATCGTATTTTTTTCCAATTATTCTGAATTAAATATCCAATAAATCCCACAAAAAATTTCTGATTGTATACAATTTTAATAAATAATAAAAAATAAACCGAACGTTTTGAAAAATATTTTTCCAATGTTGTCACACACAGTTGATGTTTATTTCAAAGAATACTGTTGTGAGACCAAAACAATTAGATGTTGAAAATTAAATGAAGTGTTTTTCTTTTCAATTGATCATAGTAGAGATACACAATGCAATAGTTCATGGGCATTGACCTGAGTCTCATTAGGCCAACGGCTTTCATCTCAGTAAAGGATCTCCTAGAAGTGTATTATAATAATAGATTGGGAAATACTAGAATACAACATTTAGAATGATTCTAAAATGTTTTTCATCTATAGAGGCGGTTAACAGGTTTGCATTTAAAAAAGAAATATCTCTACACTTTTCTACCATGAATACCGATATTAAAATTTTTAATAATTTGCAGAGTTAAAACAATAATTTAAAATATCAAGGCTATAAATATTAAATACTTCTACGTGTCCTCAGGCCTTCTAATTATAAACTATCTCCATAAAAAGTCCCTTACTAGTAGGTCTCATAATATGCTTCTTAAAATTATAACCACGACTGTGAAAAATTCGGTTAAAACATTAATAATACTGAATCCGTATTGTCAAATTACAGCAACTTCTGTGAAAATGCTGATTAAAACCTTCGAAATGCTGGGATATGAAGGTGATGTCAACACATGATATTATTTCGAAAACTCCTTGGGAAAATATTGTTTTTGAAATTGTTCATATGTATATATACATAATAACATCAAAGTCCGCAAAGGACAATTTTACACCGAACGTACTTTATGGCAGGCGAAGTCATGGTAAATTTAAGAATATTTAACACTTAATGAGAACTAAAATAGATATTGTTCGGTAAAAAAATAGTCGCCCATAATCCCCAAAATGCCGAATAATGGCGGTAGAGTTAGGTGGGGTGTATTTTTTATTTTTTCAAAAGGTTTACTCGGGGACTTTCGGACCACGGTGCTCATCCTGAGTATCTAAACCGAAAAGATAGAAGAGTGAACAGGGAAAGGAGAAGGTAGTAGAGGCAGAGGATATATATTTTAGCTTAACCATGGCAGTTTTATGACATAGTTAAATATTTATATGGGATATATTCCGGAGTAAAATTATAGAGTATAAATTCCATATCTACGAAACAGTCGATGTATTTTACTACCTAGCTAAAGTATTTGCACAAATATTTCAAACTATTCTTCATCCACACATAAATTTCAATAAACCACTCCATTGATGTCCCATTTAGATGTGAGTGATATAATCCTGTTATGATCCCAACAATGAATTTGACCTCATTTTTCCTATGTGACAGCAAGGACAGGTTGTTCTGCGTCGTAAAATTTCAAGCCAGATGAATTTCGAAGTTTGACATTCAGGCTCCTCAGAACATTTGTTGCCGGCATTCTCGAATTAGAATATACGAATTTCGCCAGTAAAATAACCGATAGGTGATCTCCTTTTTGTCTTTGGGTCTCAAAGCACACCTTGACTGCAACTCCTATATATTGATACAGAGGGAGCCTTTAACAACGTTAAACTTGAGTCCGTAAACCACTCACTTAAAAAAGTTGGCACTCCTGAAAACCCTTACGTGTTGGATAGATAAAATGCTAAACAGCGGAATTATAAATTCAAGTGTGGGGGATACAAACATCAGGAAAACTGTAATTAGAGGCACCCCTCAAGGAGGGGTGCTCTCACCGTTGCTATGGCTATTGGTAATTGACAACATGCTGATGGAAGTGGACGGGGAAGGTATCAAAGTCGTAGCTTATGCGGACGACGTTGTGATATTGATTTCCGGAAAATTTCCGCCAACAATCTCAGAGCTAATGCAAAGAGCCTTACTGACGCTGTCACGTTGGGCTAAGGCGAACGGCTTTGATGTAAACCTAACAAAGACGGAACTGGTAATGTTCACTAGGAAGCGTAAGCTCCGCTTTTTTGGGCCAAGGCGAACGGCCTTGGTGTAAATCTAACAAAGACGGAACTGGTAATGTTCACTAGGAACCGTAAGCTCCGCTTTTTTGCTCCACCAACACTGGATGGAGTGCAACTTTATCAAGTCGACATCCAGCAAATTAGATTTTAATAACAGGAGCCATGAAGAGTACGCCACAAGCAGCTCTGAACGCAATGCTGAACTTAAGACCTCTGGGCCACATAATTAAGATTCAGGCCCTAAGGCTGCATGAATCAAATCTTTGGCGAAGTTGTACCTTTGGGCATGGTTGTATCTTGAACGAGCCGGGTATGACATTGGAGATTTTACGATGCAGATGTCGTTATTCCTAGTAGAGACGACAGCAACCGTAGCAAACCTCCTCTGGACGGTCTGCCCTTTTATACAGACGAATCCAAGATGGAAGAAGGTACAGGGGCTGACGTCTACTGTGAAAGGCTAGGCCTTGAGTTAATCTGCAAGCTGGATAGCAACTGTAGTGTTTTCCAAGCTAAAATCTTCGCTATTTGGAAGGCAGCGGAATTGATAAAAAGTCTGGATGCAGAGATCGTTGAATCGGTGACTATCTTTGTGGTTAGTCAGGCGGCTTTTAAAGCCATCAAATCCTGTAACATCAAATCTGAGGTCGTCCTCGAGTGTAGACCATTTTTGGAAACACTTACAGCTATCGGCTGTATTGGGTACCAGGCCACCGTGACATCATAGGTTATGAAAGAGCAGACAAATTAGCCAGACCAGGATCTCAATGTACAGATCTAGATATCAATTGTTCAATCAAACCACCCATCTGTCGAGCCAATGAACGAACATAGGTGCAATGTGTCAAGATCTATTTGGCCGACTCTGTGAACCAAGAGAACAAACTCACCGATGAACCTGAGCAAAGCTGAAATTAGACTAATGACAGGAGTCATTACTGGTCATTGCAATATCAGGGGCTTTACCAGTAAATGGGACCATGATGTTACTGATGTTACAGACTCTGTGCTGACGAGGAGGAGACGAAGACAATTGAACATCTCCTGTGTCGCTGTCCAGTTCTGGCCTACAGACGGTACATACTAGTGAGTGTTCACTTTCCACCATCTCTAAGCTTCTTTTCAACTATGGAACCCGCTTTAATCTACAGCATCATTAGAAACCTAAAGTGGTTGGGAAAGTGAAACCTTAGCACGTAATATGTTTTCCGTTCTATTTATATATCCATCGAAACTATTCCCAACTTCCTCCTAATACTTCTTGTAAGCTTTTTATCATTTTCTTATTTAATTATTATTTAATTATACTGTGAAACGCGTTAGTTTGGCTTAAGCCGAATGTCAGATGCCCATATCTCTAAAAGTATGGAATTCCACCACGAAATCCAAATAATTTTTGATCAGGGAAACGAGATCTACCTATGGTAAAGAAAAAATCCTATATGAGACCCTAAACTTAACGAAGGCTTACATTTTGTATAAGGACCGGTCTCGAATCATTTTAAAATATTTACCACACGATATCCTATCCCTGATTACAACAGTGTACTTTTTTTCTTGTAGAAATCGCCATTTCCGGAGATATGGGCCTCCAAATTACCATTCGGAATCTTGCATTTTCTCGTGATTTTCAAAACTCACTGAGGAAATACGGGTATCAGTTTTTAGCAGGAAATAATTTACATCGTTGTAATCAGGACCTCAAGGAAGGACTACTTATGGTCGAACATTTCACAATGATTCGCGATCGGGCCTTAAGCCAGACTTGTTTCCCCATTTCCATTTGTATCCATTTTGGAGATTTCAAAAGAGTCTCATATCAAATACCTATTAACATCGATTTATATATCATCTCACACTTTCCACTTATTTGGAAATCAAGATCCACCATTTTCAATTACTTCAGAAAAAAAATGTACAAATTTTTGTTGTTTGTGTTTGTATTAAATAAAAATCTTTCATTTAATTCATTCCATTGTAGAGTGCACTTTTGTTTTACACAAAATTATAATTTTATCACTGTATCTCCACCATCATTAAGGGTTCACACTCTAACAAAAATATATATAATATATATCCAAAAATATTTTGGATATCTGGTGAGTTGGATAAGATGTTGTTGATTGTTGGAAATATAAAACACACAGCAGCAGAAGTACACCACGATGTAGTAGAACCAAGAGAAAGTGAGAACATTTACTTCTTCTTGGATACACCGACAGTGCGACCACGACGACCGGTTGTCTTGGTGTGTTGACCACGGACACGGAGACCCCAGTAGTGACGGAGACCACGGTGAGAGCGGATCTTCTTCAAACGTTCCAAATCGTCACGCAATTTGGAATCCAAATTCGAGGAGGTCAATTGATTGTATTTACCATCAATGATATCCTTTTGTCTGTTCAAGAACCAGTTGGGAACTTTGTAGTGCAATGGGTTGGAGATGATGGTGACGATCTTCTCAACCTACAAAAGAAAAACAACAACAACAAAGAGATTAGTAAACAATGTTGTGATGGCGAAGTTTTCCACAAACTTACCTCCTCTTCGGTACATTCACCGGCACGTTTGGTCAAATCAATATCGGCCTTCTTCAACACAATGTTGGAGTAACGGCGACCGACACCCTTAATTACGGTCATGGCAATACCAACTTTGCGTTTACCATCAATGTTGGAATTCATGATACGCAAGATGTGTTGGAACTTTTCTGGTACGACGAGCGACTATGGGGGATACACAAAAGAAAAAACACATTATTAATTCATTTATTCAAATTGGATTCCAAATAATGTAAGCATCATTATACATAAAAACACCAACAACAAATTTAACATATCCTCCTCAAATCATTGTTTTTGCCACTATAATTCCATTACTCATATCGTATTTGAAATTTTTAATTTTCTTTTGAAATTCTTTCACAATTCATTACTTTGCTTCATTTGGGGGCATTTTTCATTTGGATTTTTGCATTTGTTGTGGGATGTTTTGCATATTTTTCGATTTTTTTCACACACGTACCATTTTGCCCTTTTGATAGCGACCGATTTTAAGCCGAAAAAGACGGAAAAACGGATGTCGACCAAACGTCAAACTTTGACAGTGACAGCTGCGACAGCGGCATCTGGTTGTGAGTATTGAAATCACAATTTGAGTGTTGGAAAATGACGGAATAAAGTCAGTATTGCATTCAGATATAGATGGCGGAATGATAAATCATGATCACTAGACATGCGTTTACATCTAAGCAATTTAATATGGATTTTTTTTAGATTTTGTTAATTTTGGTAAAAATATTTCATTTGGTAAAAATATAATATTACTGAGATTTTTCAACTTCCATTGGAAAAAATGTTGGTTTAGTGAAAATAAGTCGGTTAGTGTATACACAGCTTATCCATTTGAATAAAACACGTAATTTATATTGTCAATTTTCTTGACTACTTGACAAATAATTTAAATATCTTGTCTAGATCGAAATATTTTTTCTTAATTCTGGAAAAAATTGATTTAAGACTTTCTTCTTCCAAATGAAAATATATTCCGAAATTAGAAAGTCCACTACCCGATATTCAAAGACTTATTCGTAATCCAGACCTCAACCGCCTCAAAAGTATACTCATATTGTAATAGTTAAATAAACTGAATGATAAATATAAGTTATAGCGGAACTTTGGAGGTCCATATCTCAAAAAGAGTGGATTTCAGCAAGGAACAAGTCAAGTTTTGGAACAAGGCTATAAAATTTCTCCTATGGACAGTTGCCAAAAGATTTACTAACGAGAATATCTTCTAAAAGGGTTTTGTGAGTGGGAGGCCTTTGTCAGGGGAATTATAACTTTTTCCTATGGGCTCAATTCCGGCAACGTAACAGAATTTCCATTTTAAAAAATTTTAAATTGCAAGTTATAATGAAGAAGGGAATTTCTTCATAATCACGACCCAACCCGCTTCAAATTAATACCCATTTTGTCAGAATTAATTTCAAAACAATTAATTTCAAAACAAAACGGCATATACATTAGAACTTTTTAACGGGTTAATCTACTTCATGAGGATTTATTTGAAATATATGCAAAGGAATTGACAATTGAAATCCACTGGGTTAACGAAATCCGGTTAAATGTAAACGTACTGTTAATTTCTTATTCGATTTTGTGAAGATAACCTGACCACAGGACCTTTTTTGTCTTAAATCCTGGACCAAAGGTCAAAATAAATTTTAAAACACATATTTTCAGGATTTCTTGTTGCGGCTTGTTATGTTTTCAAAAATATAACAGTACTTTTTCATTGTACCGGATTTCGTTAACCCAGTGGGTTTTAAGTGTCAGTTACCTTGTATATATGCCAAATAAATCCTCATAAAGTAGGTTAACCCGGTAAAAAGTTCTAATGTAAATGCCGTTTAAGTCGTTCGAAATATGCATTTTGCATAAATCTGTATAAAATTTTTTTTCCTATTCGATTTTGTGAACAAACCCTGAAGTTCCATTTATTTCTCGCGTTTTTTTCTGAAAATTAAGAAAAATATGTCCAAGCCTCAATGTAGAGTTGCATTTTTCCATTGTTTACAAAAGCTGTCATACCTTGTCAAATAAATTTAAATATATCGAATTTAAGTGTAAAGAAAATGATTTTTTTAGCACGTTCGACTGGATGAAACAAACATTAATTAATAACATCCATAATTAATTATGGATGAAACAAACATTTCATGGTATTCCCTACTGGATTTTGGAAAGAAATCATAACCTATCATTCATTTTTTGCGTTTTTAGTTATGCGGAGAATTTTTTTTCAAATAAACACAGCGTGTTTTTTATATTTGACAGAAGAAGCCACTACCAACATAGTTGCATTTTTGTTATTCACATCCTGTTGTCCTACCTTGTATTATTGTAACATGGATGTTACCCTAAAAAAGGCCCAATATTCCTAATTTTAAATAGAAATATTTGATATCTAATGAGAAATACAACCACTTGTGGCGTATGTTTTCTTTATATTTGACAGAAGAAGCCACTAGGGAAATTTTCTATGCTATGAATCGGAAATATCCAATTTGTTTGAAAATATACCCAACATTTAGGAAATATCGAAAGTTTAGGAGAAACCGTTATATGAAATCTGCCATAAACTAGTAACCTTAAATTAATAATATTATTAAATTATTGCAGGTAGGTTACGTACCCAATAAGAACCAAAAATACCACATTACATCCAATTCGCTTAAAAACGTGCCCACAATACCGGCATGGGTACCGTAATATGGGCCTATACCAAAACGTGGACTTATATATCCCATTTTCAATACCAATGTATAGTTCTATTTTATATATTGCGAGCTTTATACTGATTTCAATAGAGGGACGGACATAAAATTTAATTCTGATCATGAATATATGGGGTCTCCAATGAATATTTCTAGGTCAACAGAATGATATTTTTAATAAACACTGATCCTTATGGTGGAAACAGGGAAAGAATAATGCTCATAAAAATATTCAACAGGTTGTTTTTGTTGCAGTATCAAACTTCTAGACAGTTTCAGTCCATGGTTGTCAACAGTATGGTTTGAGTCCCTAGCGTATTGAGATATATAAATGTGTAGATAAAAAAGATGCAACGAATCGTGGACCTAGTGCACATGCTATATATGTGTTAGTTATCGCGTCCAACAGGAATTTGGGCGATTGCACCATCTTGATTTTAGCTGTGTTTAAACTATTCTTATATTCTAGAACCCCTCTCTAGATCATGAAGGTCTTGCCTCACGTATCTGAGTTGGGGAAGTCTATCCATAAGGCTGTGAAAGGGGTGGGAAATCTAAATAGTCTATCACTGCAAACCACTAGACGTCGTTTACACCATAGCTGCTTAAAAAATCACAAAAATATTAGTTTTTGAGACTGAGTATTCATCGTATGAAACGACATATTTCTCAGATTGAAGAAATTGTGTGACCTACCTCCACGATCGTACAATCATCCGCATACATTACAACCGGTGTTTGTAGAATATGTGGAAGTTAGAGGTTGAATAGGTAGGGAGAATTCCAGACAATTTCCCCCTAATGTAGGTTGCCGTAGTCGTGTAGATACTGATTAAAGTACAACGCCATATTTCCATCTATTACATAGATTTTATATGAAATTTAAAGGTTTTCTGATAAAAATAAATTTCAAATGCAGTCTATGGAAAGTATCAGTGATGATGATCACTAGTTTCTGATCGCTGGACACTAAAATCTTTTATTGAGATGGTTTGAGTTTTTAAAACACCCGCCAATAGCCAATTTTATATATCATTCCTTGCCAAACACATTTAATTAGAATACTTGTGAGTTTTTTTACTTTTAAGTTCAATTTAATAAATTAGTTACACAGTTATGCATGATGCTGGTCTTTAAGAGTAAGCTAATGAATACGGTTTTTTTTCGTTTTTCTGCTTTTACTTAATATTAGCCACCGACTTAACACGTTCTTCCACCTTGGCTACCTCTTTGTTTATTGTTTCTAGATTCTGGGCGAAGGTTTCTTGTACCGAATGCAACAGTTCCTTATTATAAACCAGGGAGGTGGTAATTGAGGTTTGTTTCTCTTCGATTTCAGCAATGATTTTAGCAAAGTTCATAGCTGGAAAGAAAAAGAAAACATGAATTCGATAGCTAAAAAATTAAATATACATATTAAAATAAATAAGAAAAGAAGACAGATGTATATGAGGAGGAAACAATCTTGTTTGGAGCATTTCCTCGAAGGATATGCAGGATATGAATCAATATAGGGTTGTTTCTTTCCATATACTGCTGTAATCAAAATACATTCTTTAGATAAATATATGAAGACATGAGACCATCTACGCCCGAGGATTTTAACTTTAATCCATGCTGTTGGTAATCTGAAGGGTTGATATATAATTTGCATTTACAATTGTCTCCAAAGTCTGGAGTTCATTGGTAGGATTTATCGAGAAACATATGTCTGTTTCTTTTCATATTTTGCTCCAAGCACAATACATTCTGTAAGTAGATGTATGAACACATGTAGCAGCCTACGATCAAGAATATTAACTTCAACGCTTAAGGGTTGAATATAATTTGTCTGCAGTCTGCAGTTAATCTGCAGAATTTCTCGATTACTTTGCAACGAATTCAACCGAAATCTTAAGAATAATATTTAAATACATTTTTTTTAAATAATTTTCTTCTAAAGAAATTCCTCCCACTCACCATATTTATGCAGCAACTCCAATGCCTGCATTCTTTCAATAATATCGGGTAGAATTTCGGCCACAGGTTCGGTACGTTTAGCAATTTCATACATTTCGACAACCTTTTGATCACGTTTAGCATCCTCGGGTGAACCACTCGATTTTGCAGCAATGGCATCCATTTTGGCACCCAAGCTGCCCAAACGTTCTTCAATAACATCGATTTTCTCTGACTGCAATAAGGCTGCCTTTGTGTTAAGCTGACGCACGGCGTCCATAACATTTGTGCTTTGTGTGAGCGTTGTAAGGCGACTCAATTTTTCCGGTTGAGCACCAACAGCCTGTTCCAGTTGATGCAGACGATGTTCCAATTTGGCCACACGTGCCGACGCTGCCAAATCAGTTCCAGGTGTCGGTATAGCCGTGAGGACACCCGAATTTTTATATTCATCTACTTGATTGATCAGAGCCTTAACCTCTTTGTCGGCCTTGTTAGGTGCCTGTTCTTTACCCAATACCTGTTCCAAACGCAGCGAATCTAACACCTTCTTGGCTGTGGTAATAATGGTGGCCACAGCATCATATGATTCCTTTTCTTCTTGGACCAATTTACGATCGTTTTGCAATGCTGATACCTCTTCCAAAAGTTCATTCATTTCACACTGCAATCGACGACATTTTTGCACGGGAGTCTCCTTTTCACCCATGCCAGTTAATTCAAATTCACCCGTGGTCATATCATAGCCACGACATACACGACGTCCAATACTGTCAGAGAAATCGACATTACCCGTCAGCGTAGAGCCACGGAAACGTTTGTAAGCCTCTTGCGGGGAGATGTGCAAACGTTCAATGGACTTATTTTCCGCCTCTTCCTCGTAATAGTCTGAAGTCTCTTGTTCAGGAACATCGGGTGTTTCATA